GTCGAATAGTATCCTGTAGGTGGGCCTTCGTGCGTGTTTTGTTTTCGATGTAAACTCGCGGAGATGAACAGGCCTGGTATTACTTACAGTAACGAAGATAATAATTCTTACTTAATTACTAAGGAATACGAGTATCGTGAGAAGAAATGTCTTATTAAAATTTATTTTCATTAAACATTATTTTATTTTGTACGATGCGGCTAAACGTGGGCCGCCGTATTGAAGAACGTATCGCAATGACAATCCGCCTAAACGTTGAACCGGCGTATTACAAAACAGAGCTGTAATGTAAAATGCCTAGTGGTAATGTAAAACGGCGGATTATACAATCCGACTGCGACATATATGTCCACCCTGCGGCGCCGGCTTATCCTTGAATTTTGGGACACGTTGTATATTACTAGCATTTGCTTGTGACTTTACCTGTATTCATGGGCTGATTGCATATAATTCACATCTTTTCGTTCATAGCTTCTTTACTACTTATTAGTTCATCAATTTAACTTTTGTTAATATTTTGCGTCACAAATACATGTAGTTTACTACATTTCCTAAACAGCAATCGGAAATGTAATATAAGATTTCAATGAATACGCGTGGACATGCGGTGCGAGGGGAGGGTATTGCATCATTCAATTACGCGGGGTCTCTTCTCTATCGAATCGCCAAATTTTTTGTACGCCTAATTGAGAATGTTACTAGGTATGCAAAATAACTTGAAACCTATGCTACAGTTAAGCTTTTACATTTACAAATACATTAGTTTTTATTTCATTCAAAAATACCCAGTAGTTATGATTTTATAGGCATTCAAAGTTCGCTTAAATATTGAGTCCCGCCGACGGTCACGTGACCCCGCGTGACGTACATTCACAGTGTCCGAAAACGGATATAAACATACTTAAATACATTTTTTTTTTGTAAATACAAACTTATTATACATATTAACACCCAGACCCATCACAGAAATTAAAATTAAACCAAACCCACACTTGATGCGATTGTGTCGTTTTATTGCGAATTACCTTCCAGCTCCATTATTAGACCCTGATTACTATATAGAATTAAAGTACTCATCAATACAAAACGAACGAGCCCAAACTCGATGCATTTAAGTCGTTTTATTATAGAGTTCCTATGGCCACCTTCCAGCTCCATCATCAGATCAGCTCCATGTCATCATAATATTGCATGGTCATCCAAATCACATGTGTTTGCGAAATTTCAGCTTAATCGGTTGCCTGGAAGTGGGTCTTAATTCAGCTTGCAAGATTCCACCCATACAAATATGAGCCAGTCACTGTAATATGACGTCACGCGCGCATAAAATGGCGGGCCGGCCGCCGCCCGCACTTTTAAAATTCAATATCTTGGAAACTAATAGACGTATCGAAATAATTCTTTCACGTGTATTTTTTATTTTTAACAGAGAATACAGAAAGCTAAAAAACAAAATTAGTGAACATTCTTCATTGTCGATGGCACGCAAAGGACATCATCCATTTTGGTCCAAAATCAAAAGTGCCGGCCAAAAAATAAAAGTGCTGTATTCTGATAGAATACGTCCGCCTTAGCATTTATTACTATGGCACCAAAGCTGTAGCACCACTGTGCATCGTGGTATTTGAGTTCTAAAAATAAATGAAACGACTGACTTTGATCTCAAATACTACGACGCACAGTGGTGCTACAGCTTTGGTGTCATATTAACAAATGCTAAGGCGGACGTATTCTGTCAGAATACAGCACTTTTTTTTATTGGCCGACATTTTTGATTTTGAACAAAAAATGTATGAATCGTCGATGAATTTTAGATCTCAAATACTCGACGCACAGTAGTGCTACAGCTTTGGTGCCATAGTAACAAATGCTAAGGCGGAAGTATTCTGTCAGAATATAGCACTTTTTTTATTGGCCGACACTTTTGATTTTGAACAAAAAATGTATGAATAGTCGATGACTTTTAGATTTCAAATACTCGACGCACAGTGGAGCTACGGCTTTGGTGCCATAGTAACAAATGCTAAGGCAGACGTATTCTGTCAGAATACAGCACTTTTTTTTGTTGGCCGGCACTTTTGATTTTGGACCAAAAATATATGAAACGTGGATGATGTCCTTTTAAGCCTTTTTTTTACACAAAATTATTTTTATTGCGCCTCTTTTTTTTCTCCGAAACTTAAATAGCGCTCGGCGGCTGTGTATGTGTAAGGTCGCAAGTCTAACCTAACCTAACCGAGACTTTGTTATCCAGCTACAAGAGTACTAAAACTTTCATGCCAATAACAGTTTAATAAAAGAGATGTTAAAATTAGGGATTTCCAATACTTCAGCGTAATATGCGTGATGCCGAAAGAAAGGTATGCCAATAAATTTTAGGCAAATATTTTTTTCGGCTAAAGTATAGTAATAGTGCGAAAATAACTGTCAGGCTAAATAATAATAATTGCGAGTTAAAAGTACCTATCGGCCAATCTGGTTTGGCTAAATGAAATTTTAGGCGTACCGAGGGGCACCAGATCACGACCGCGCTAGTGCCGCTTAGTTTTTACATTTCCTAATACAATATTGGAATTCTGTAAAATTCCTAGGAAAAGTATACGTATTCTAGGATATTGCGTATTAAAAAATCTCTGAAGCAATATTATACATTTTCTAAATAGCTTTGGAATTGTATTACCTAGCAATAGTATAATTCCTAGAATTCATACATTTCCTGTAACATATATATGTATATTATGTGCCATGTTAGGGGACCGTACAATGATATTATATAAAAACAAAAAATATCATTGGGACCGTATGAATGAGACAAGAGTTGTTGTTAGTGTCTGTTATTAGTCTGAATTACACGAGTATTTATACGATGTAGATTATAGATAAATGACGTCACAGCATCAACACTGTACGTGATAAATGTGCTGACACTGTGAACGTGATCAAGATAAGATATGAAGAGATTAAGTATTGTGCATACCGGCACAGTACTTAACTCCCCCCCTTTAAATAAGAAATAAAAAATAATGCGCTAGGTAATTACAATAACATACATAAATTATCTTATGTTAATACATGGTTCAATGTTCAATCTCTACATACTTACACAAGAAATAAAAATAATGCGCTAATTACATAATACAAATTACAATAACTAAGTATCTACGTTATACAAATCATGTGGTGAAAAATAGTGAAATGTTTATAAAAGATGAGAATATAACAAAATCTAACCACTGGCTTCTTCCTTATCTGGCGATTTCACAGGTCGTGGGTTGCCCTCGCGCAAGCTCGGCTTTACGCGATGGGTGCGCTGTATTCACAGCGTTCATGCCTTGTGTCCTTGCACATTTCATAAGCGTTATCGGCTTCTGAAGACCAAAGGATAGGCGAATTATCATTCTTGAAATATTCAAAGTATTCAACTTCGATACGCGGCTGCGTAATTTATTTTTCTCAATTCCTTAACTGTGTATCAATTCATCGATTGCTTTGTATTTCTGCTCTGTTGGGCGATTCCTTGGCTCGTTATCGGATAACCTAAGAAATTATTCGCTCTGGAGGGACTCACATTTTTCTAAATGATTGAATTCCCAAGTTTAGAGTCAGCGTTTTCGTTTGTCATTGTTGCTTATTACTGATATGTTGCTCCCGTAACGATTAAAGACCTCATACCACTTTTTCAGTCGGTAACAATAAGGCGGTTAGATAGCAGTAGCACAGAGGCCATGCTGGCTGTGCGATTTTTAGTTTCCTTGGTTCGTTTGTTTCCAATCACATATTTTTCGCATTTTTCTATACAGGGTGTTAGGTAAATGGGTATATGAGCCGACACTAGCCCATGTTAACATGGGCATATTAAATGGTATGGTGAAGTCAGAAATTTGATATCATCATTTTATTTTTTTTAATTTTCATACAAAATAAATTTATAAAATGCGATTTGTATGAAAAATAAAATAATTAAAATGAAGATATCAATTTTCTGACTTCACCATACCATTTATATAACCATGTTAACATGGGCTAGTGTCGGCTCATATACCCATTTACCTAACACCCTTTATATTATTATCCTCTAAAATGATGATGATGACAAAATCAATCTTCTTACTTGACTAGGCGACCTTGGCCTTCGGTTCTACGAATAAATGACGCCTGTCACTGCTGCGTCTCAAATTTTCACGGTCATTCTTCATAGCACAATTTATAATTGCACTTGTTGTAGCTGAGTTAGCACATTTTCCATTGTTTGGTCTTGAATTTTTGCTGAAGTTGTCGTTGACTGCTGACTACTGAGAATTCATTTTCGCTGATTGATGTTGATTTCACAATAATTGATGTTGATGACACGGACGCGAAATTTTCTCTGCTCAATCGGGGTAACCAATTTGATTCCATGTCAGATGGTGAAAGCTGGCGGAGGCTGATGCTGAAGATGGTGGTGATGGAGGTTACGTCTCACATCACGTTGTTTCGTACGTGTTGAACTTCGTCGTCGTTCGTCGGCTTCATCAGCGGGATCATCTTCTTCGTCGGGTTCGTCGATCACGTCAATTTGTGCCAACTTCGTCAGCTTCGTCGGGCTCGTCTTCTTCATTGGGTTCACCAATTTGTGTCATCTTCGTCGGGTTCATCTTCTTCGTCGGGGTCACCAATTTGTGCCATGTTAGGGGATCGTATGATTGAGACAAGAGTTGTTGTTAGTGTCTATTATTAGTCTGAATTACACGAGTATTTATACGATGTAGATTATAGATAAATGACGTCACAGCATCAACACTATACGTGATAAATGTGCTGACACTGAACGTGATCAAGATAAGATATGAAGAGATTAAGTATTGTGCATAGCGGCACAATATACAAATAAATAAATTTTGACTTTGACTTCCACTCTGTATAAGAGGCTTTATTTTAGATTTCTAAGAACATTGTTAGAGCATTGTTAGAGTTAGGTTAATGATAATTTTGCTAATTAAGTACCTGATGGTATTTTACAGGTGAAGAAAAAACTAAAATCATAGTAACAGAATGTGACATCAAGAAGGACGATATCAGGAACGTGACAAGAAAGGCTAAGGTTCTTATCAACTGTACTGGACCCAACACGATTCTCAGTGAACCTATAGTGAAGGCGTGTATAGACACTAAAACGCACTATGTCGATATTTCTGCCGAATTATATGTGAGTATTTTTCATAATTTTAGCTATCGCGATATCGTCAAAGTTAACATTCACCGTTGTATTTGTATGTTCAACACTATTTTGCTGACCTGATCTGTCTACATTAGTATTTATAAGTTATTTTTAGTATAACGTAACTTATTATTATTCTGTGGTATAACTGAGTACCTAAGTAATCTTATATTCCAGCACATTCTTAACTTATACCGAACTTTCAATAAGAGCGCAGAAGAAGCAAACATCTTGGTGATTCCAGCTTGCGGTTTTGCAGTCATTCCTGTCATGACGGGTTTGATGTATTTGGAACAACATTTTAAAGGTATTTACCTACAAAGTTCTTTGATAAGTACCTACATACTTAAGTAGGTACAAATAAAAATAGACTTTACGCAAGAGTTCATGGGGACTTCCTTTAACATGTTACTACATAATATATTATATTATATGTATTTTCGTTATTAGGTAGGTACCTAAATTGTTTAGAAAACTGTATCATCCAGTACCTACCTATCTACCTAACTGGAGTTGTGAATGCTCCATGAACATGACTGTGTCCAAATTATTTTCAGGGTCATTGAATGCAGTGGAATGTTATGCCGAACTAATGATACCAAAGAGGGCCTACATCCCTGGCCCAAACAAATGTCTACTCCACTATGGGACTTGGGGGTCCCTAGTTCACGAAATGCAGAATATGAAAGAGTATCGAAGACTAAAAGCCGAGATATTCCCACAGAACATTTATGACCCAGATCTACCAGAGATAGAAAGGTAAAGTTTTTAAATCTGATGAATTACTTCGGTAGATTTACTTTATTTTACTGTTTACTTTCAGATCGTTTTTCCACAAAACCAAAGGGAAGTTATGGTACCCATACCCTGGCCCCGATGAGTATGCTGTAGAAATGTCTCAAAGATACCTTCATGAGAAAAAGGGCAAGAAAGCGTTCCGTTGCAAAGTCTACACGACCATGCCGACCTGGTTCCATCTCATTATAATGATACCAGCTATGTATCTTTACTACTACTTCTGCTACTTAAAGTGCTTCAGGAACTTATTATGGAAGTACCCACGTTTCTTCACCCTAGGCTATGTGTCACATAAAGGTCCAGCCGAAGAAATGGTTAAGGATATAAAATTCGCATTCACGTTCAATGGAAGTGGGACTGATGAACATGAACAGAAAAAATCTTTGTCAGTCAAAGTAAGTAACTAAGGCCCGATTCGACAAAACTTTTATCCGAGAATAATTCCTGGTATAACTGGCACATTGACAGTTTCAGCATGGGAAATATGCCAAAATGTCGAACTTAATTGATTGTCTTTCGGCGCTTAAATTACTTACTTACGCCCGCGCCGTTTCTTTCTTATTTTGTAGTAATATTGACGTATTTGTTATTTTGTCATTTTGGTGCCCGTGCGCCTATTCCTTTTTGATTTTATCCCTGTAGTAGGTACTCATTTAAAGTACATAGGCATTAAAACTCTTGTTTTCAGATTACCGGATGTGACCCAGCATATCAAACTACATCTATGACGTTGCTTGTAGCAGCTTTAACGATTTTGACGGAGAGCTCGAAGATGCCGAAGTAAGTATGGCATAGGCTTATGAGCAAAGCACCCTTTGCCGAGTAAAATGTCCAAAATCAAGTCTGTAAAATAGTTTTGACCGTTTGTTTTTATCAACAATTAATAATTTTAATTAGGTTTTGTAGGAAGGGACAATAATTTAATGTGTTAAAAGTAGGAATATTTTATTAATAATAATTATTTAACTTAACACCAGGTGCGATTGCGGTCAAATACCTGCCTTGGCTAGCATAAAAAAAAAATAATTGTGTCTTAAATTGCATTTATGTTTTTAAAATTTCTTAAATAATATTATTTGTTTACCTACAGAGGAGGAGTCTTACCAGTTGGCGCAGCTTTTCAAGACACTCAAATTATTGACAATATTATGAGAAATAAAGCACTTACTTATGAAATTATAGACAGTTAGGGTTAAAAAGGAATTCGGTTTTTTTTTATTTTTAGTTAATACTTTATAAACATATGTTATTATTTAAATATAATGCATACTTAATGGTTTTTCTTGTAACTAATATATAATTTAAATTTAACTGCTTAAGTACTTATTTAAATCTTGGTATTTAATAGTTGAATACATGGTGTTTCGATACCTTATCGTTGGACTATTATTTTCTGTGTAAGTCACACGATACTCAATAAAAACGAGAAACTATTTTTGTTCCGGTAACCTGAAAAGAAAGAAGAAAGAGAAATAAATGTATTTTTATTTGGCACATTAAAAACAGCAAATTACAGAATTTAACAGTATTGTATAGATTAATTTGAAAAGGCTTCCACTCAGCATAAATGCCCCAGTGCGGCAATAAATAATTTGAAGTGACGTTATAAGTACTGAAACTTCTTTGTTTCCACTACCAACACTACACTCATGCACGTTTACGAACAATCAAGCAAATATTACATTTTTATTAATCGTTTTATACAGGGTGTTAGGTAAATGGGTATATGAGCCGACACTAGCCCATGTTAACATGGGCATATGTAAATGGTATGGTGAAGTCAGAAAATTGATATCTTCATTTTAATTATTTTAATTTTCATACAAATCGGATTTAAAAAAAAATATTTTGTATGAAATGATGATATCAAATTTCTGACTTCACCATACCATTTATATGCCTATGTTAACATGGGCTAGTGTCGGCTCATATACCCATTTACCAAACAACCTGTACATACAACTTTTAAAAACTTTATCAAAACATGATGTATTGTATCACTTTCCCGCCAACCAACATCTCCGAATTAAGTTGTGCCATTGGAAAAGCGCGGGAAACGTTGAACGCGACGGGCGTCTTTTTTGGTTCAAAAGTTTTGTAAATTTGTTTTAGCATATAAATAGATCAGTATTGTATAGTGTTCTTGTAAATTTATTGTTTTGTGTATATATTTTATGTAGATAGTGTTTAAATCTTGCTGTACTACCGGTGAGTCTATTTATTTAATTACTTGGAGCCGCAATGAACGACCCGCCCGATCCGGGCGGTTCTCTGCCGCCCGATGAAATTTCCCTTGATGCTAGTAATGTTCCGCCGGCGGGTCATTTCGTTACGGTTACATCTAACCATGGTTGGGAATCCGATAATTCCACATCGGGTTCAACAGCTTGCCCTCGCAAGCGTAGCCGTAATAAGAAAAGTCGTAAACATCAGGCTAAAATTGAACGTAGACTTCTTGCTAAAAATATGACAGAAGAATCTACTGATATGGATCACCAAGATGTTCCACAGACACAGCAAAAGGTCATTGCACCTGCAACTAGTATCTCTGACNTACGATGATACGATTACTTTTACGTTGCGGCAATCACTAAAATTCGCTAAAATGACACTAATGACGTTTAAAAAGTGGCACGCTCGGCTTCATACAATTTTTGACACATGCTGCATCTATCCTTATCTGTGGTTGCGTGACAAATCGATGTATTTTGACACATACTCACTCTTTAATCTGTGATTTTGACACTTGACATTACATACCGGATGTCAGCTGACGTAAAGCTTGATTTCTAACTATGTTGTGTCGTGTCATGTCTACGGAGAGTTTTGTGCGGTAAGTGAAATAACGTTTAGCTTGAGCGTGCTTAATCCCTACTTACATCAATTTTTAGTCTTGCACGCGGTTATAACCCACGCTGAAATGTCCCACCAAACTCAATGACAGGGGGGCGCTACCATCGTTCAACTATATGGTTTCCAACATGGCAAAAATCTGAACCAGCGATCCGGTATTGACGGTGGCGCCCCACTGTCAATGTCATCGACAGGACAGTCCAGTTATTTTGGAACTATATCTGCCCCCACAGATATGGATTAGAGTAGATACAGCAAGTTGATCGTCAAAGCGTGCCATTCCGATATGTCCAAATGGACATACATGGTCGAGTGATGTTCATGTAATCCGATTACAACAATCGGATACGATGATTTTACGAGGACAGTAGTACGAACACGGTAGAAAGAAGAAATTATTTACGGATTGAGAATTGTAATTAACAGCACAAGTAACAAATAATTAATTAGAATAAAGTAGCAGTAGAAGAAGTGTAAAGTAGCATTGTTTTTAATACATATCCTACGATGTACTCTTAAGAGTTAAAACCATGGTCCCTGTATGTGGTGCACTCATACCGATCCCAAGGAACCGTACTTACTCATAACAATAAGACACACACTGATGCATGTATTCATGCACTTGACAAATTTATGTCTTGAAACGCTGGTAGGGTAAAAAAAATAACGAGATTTGACGATTTGTAAGAATTAATTTATTTTAAAAAGGTAAATAAAGATGTTTTTGGTTTCGTATTTAACAAATTATCAGTTTTATCGAAATTAATTAATTTTCGAATCGAGTCACACGATATCATTCGATGACTTTGCAAATGCAGTACGATGATACGATTACTTTTACGTTGCGGCAATCACTAAAATTCGCTAAAATGACACTAATGACGTTTAAAAAGTGGCACGCTCGGCTTCATACAATTTTTGACACATGCTGCATCTATCCTTATCTGTGTGTGCCACAGATAACTAGAACTGTCATAGAACTCCAAAAGTATTTTAAGGTAAACGCTTACTTGTTCATTTGTACACAGCAAAACTCGGCAAACTTGTCGCCAAAAGAGAAAAATTAAATGTTTCAGCGATGAATTTGGATGAATTCGATATATTCGAGTAGGAAATCTATTTGAATGAATAGCGAAATTGAATCGAACTTAAATACATTTTTTTCTATGGCAGCACCGTTTTCCGGTTTTCAAAATGTCAAATATGTCAATCAGTGTGACAAACAACGATTCGCCCACTGAGATGTAATTTTCTTTTTTCTTCAAAAAATAAGTTTGTGTAGTGAATTTCTGTGATTTGCAAACGCATTTTCACATATTTGGTTGTTTCATAAAGGTAGGTAGATCGTTTTAGTTCCGTTAATCGGTAAATACGCACTCATATTATTAAGTGATCTCACTGGGCAGTTTCGTATTGTCAATCGTAGCCCAGCGCAATAATGACTAATTAGTCCATTTACAAGACTAATTTAATGCCAACAGGCCCTCTTAAATTTGTTTAATAATGTAATAAATATAATAGGTTACTGAACATTGACTGGGTTTTGCTTCTTGATAAAATACATACTACTTGTACGTTTACGTGACTCATGTTTTTCCTCTTACCTTGTATTGAATCCTCTGTATACCTTCTGCTTGAACCTAATTCGGTCAAAACTTTTTAATTACTGAAATAGTCTTGTAATAGTAACAGTGCATATTCTAAAATCATTATCAGAGGTGACCTGTTTGTGGCAACAAGATGATCCTAATTAATCCCTAGAAATACTATTTCTTTATCAACTTCAGTAATTTGACACAGTCAATATTTATGGTAAAATCATTATATGAAGTAAGAATTTACTTGTGAGATTGTTTACTAACAAATACACATTACATTTTCACAGAAATAAATAAAGATGACATCATCAAATACATTGCAAAAGGCTATCGACCTTGTAACGAAAGCAACAGAGGAAGACAAAAATAAGAATTATGAAGAAGCTTTGCGGTTGTATGAACACGGCGTGGAATACTTTTTACATGCTGTCAAATATGAGGCCCAAGGGGAGAGAGCTAAAGAGAGCATTCGGGCAAAGTGTTTACAATATTTGGACAGAGCTGAGAAACTGAAAGAATACCTCAAGAAGGACAAGAAGAAGAAACCAGTTAAGGATGGAGAGTCTAATTCGAAGAGTGAAGATAAAAAAAGTGACAGTGACAGCGATTCTGATGACCCAGAGAAGAAGAAATTGCAAGGGAAGCTGGAAGGTGCTATTGTGGTGGAAAAACCTCATGTTAAGTGGAGTGATGTTGCTGGGTTAGAGGCTGCCAAAGAAGCGTTGAAAGAAGCTGTTATCTTACCCATTAAGTTCCCTCACTTGTTCACTGGCAAACGTATACCCTGGAAGGGAATTCTGCTATTCGGACCGCCTGGTACTGGTAAATCATACTTAGCAAAAGCAGTAGCTACTGAAGCTAATAATTCTACTTTCTTCTCAGTGTCTTCATCTGATCTTGTGTCCAAATGGCTTGGCGAGTCTGAGAAACTGGTGAAAAACTTGTTCGAAATGGCTCGTCACCACAAGCCAAGTATCATCTTCATTGATGAAGTTGATTCCCTCTGCTCTTCCCGATCAGATAATGAGTCTGAATCTGCCAGAAGAATCAAAACTGAGTTTCTTGTACAAATGCAGGGTGTAGGAAATGACATGGATGGTGTTTTGGTGCTTGGAGCCACCAACATACCGTGGGTCCTTGATGCTGCTATTAGGAGACGATTTGAGAAGCGTATTTACATTGCATTGCCCGAAGAACATGCTCGGCTGGATATGTTCAAATTACATTTAGGTAACACACGTCACCAGTTGACGGAGCAGGATTTAAAAGTATTGGCTGCAAAAACAGAAGGATATTCTGGTGCTGATATAAGTATTGTTGTCCGTGATGCATTGATGCAACCTGTCCGTAAGGTACAGTCCGCAACCCACTTCAAGAAGATTACTGGGCCTAGCCCCACTGATCCTGATGTGATTGTCAATGATCTTCTGACTCCCTGCTCACCCGGAGATCCAGGAGCTATTGAAATGACCTGGATGGAAGTTCCAAGCGACAAATTAGGAGAACCACCTGTCACTGTGTCTGACGTGATGCGATCATTGGCAACATCTAAGCCAACTGTTAATGACGAAGATATGATAAAGCTCAGGAAGTTCATGGATGATTTCGGTCAGGAAGGTTAAAAAAAAAGAATTGTCCGCTTTTACTTTAAATTACTTATAGGTTTTGATGTATTAGAACTGTTTTTAAGCACAGTGCCTAACAATATGTTGCATCAGCAGTGGAATTTTATTTTTATAAGAAATATTTAAATGGTAACTTAATATTTTGTTACTGCACTCTTTTAATGTTAACAAGCACATCTTTTTATTTAATTGTAACATCTAAGGCTTGAAAAATCCTTCTGCGTCTCATTATTTTTATGAATTATGTATGTATTTGAAGTTAAACAGATTATGTTGGTAGGTATATTTTACTAGTTGATGCTTTTGCTAGTTCCACACCATCCTATTGTGAAAGTAACACCAATTTGCCTTTAATATAAATCTTAATGTTTAGTCTGTGGATTTCAATAAATATACTGTTAGTAAATTGAATAAAATATATTGTGTACTTAGGTAGGTATATTAATATTTTGTCTAATTGTACATGAATGTTAATACAGGTCTGATGATTTGGATTTCATGATTTTAATTATTAATGTAAACAAACATATATTTACAAATCCACAAGTTATGCATGGAGATTGCTTTGTATGTGTTGATTTTGAATTCTGTGAAGCTAAGACACTGGCCTGTGCCTGTGCAAATTGAGAGATGTCTCATACAAATTTCTTACATTCAAAGCTCACTCCACACATACCTTGTGGCCATAAATGTATTTTAAGGCCTCTAGTTTGCTTCAAATTTTAAATATTCGATGTTTAAGCAAATAGGTGTTCTATAGGATGGGATAAAATAGAATACCCAATACTTCCCATGATTAGGTAACAGGGTTTGTATGTGTTAAAATATCTTTGCACCTATTACGAATCTGTCTACCTAATAATTCTAGTTGTAGATAAACTAAAATTTATTGTTAGGAATTAATTGTTCATCATGTTGAAAATATTTTTCGTGATTATTCATTGTGATAATGTTCGATATTTACTTTCACAAGTTTTACGTATCTTTTTTTAAACAAGAAATATGTATAATGTGTAATATATTTATCTGGCTTTTAAATTCAGACTATAAACAATAAATTGCAATTCACTTAAAAATAATAGGTACTATAATAATCTCTAACATTCTTAGGTATTTTTAGGTTTCAAAATTAGTATAAAGCGTATTTTTGTCTATTGTTTATATTGTTGAATAAGCGATTAAATATGTTTCAAATATTTAAATTGGTCTTTGTTTTGACACCATAACTTGTTCAGGGAGCAAATGATACGACGTTATTTTCTTATCTTTTAGTTTTAATACTTCTTCATAATTGTAATCTTCATTAGGTTGGATAATTTTAAAGAATAGATAAAACAAATGAATTTTATTTACATTTTGGCATATTTTAACACTTACATATTAAAACAATTTTATTATCACAATATCTTATCGAAAATTTTAATGTTGACGAATACTGGTATCAGGGGAAATAGAACGAACGCCTTCATTACGCTCGAAGAGTTTGTTTCTGAAACAGATAAGATACTTAGTTGTAGTTCGTGATTTACATTTGTGTAATAATTTTCTTAATCTAATATAAAAAAAAATCTAAGTGTTTTAATGTTACGTGTTGAAATTTTTCACAGGGAAATGACATACCTACTGCTCCACAACCTCAGTGATTCTCAAGATAACGATTCCCAATTTTATTCAAGGAGGTTCAAGAGCTAGAGTTGTGTTCCTAGCTTGATTATTCGCTACCTTAGTCCCTCGTACTAAGCTAATACGCTTGTGTCACGAGTGGGTTCACCACAATAGTCGAGCGTCAGCGAGGTTCGAACCCGCGTTCCTCGGATGATATCAAAGAGTATGTAAGTATGAGAACTTTACTGACCTATAACAACGGTTCTTTCTCTCTGGTGCGTGCCGAGGGTAGCGACACATCGGAGCTGCATCAGCGGCTTCGCTGGAGCTTGCAGGCCGAGGGTAGCTACTAGCAAACCCTGTGGTGCTGGTCGCGCACCGTATGGTATCAACCAGGATGGCTCTGTAACCTGGAAGAACAAAACAATTGAATATGAAATGCTCTATCCATCTTGACGCGAAAAAGACCTAAGTTTGTTGTTTAAATAGGTGGGTACTTGTGTTGTGTGTGTATTCTGTAGTAGCTCATGATTAGTTTAACGTGTCAGTTAATCTTCAGGATCGTTCCATATGTTGCCGAAGAATGAATAAATGATTTACAGTATAGTACTTGTAAGTACACCAAACAAAACAAGAATATTAAAACAAATGAGAAGGTACAATTTAGGCGGACTTATCGCTATATTTATCTGTAGCTCTATCTAGACAATTTGAAATCCGTAGAAATGGTAGAAGTTAAACAATCTATTGATAGCCGAAAGCGGTTCTAATATTTTTCTAGTGCATGCTCAAAAATTAAGCATCAATTTGGACGTCTCACGACCATTTTCAATTCCGAATTTAACTTGTGCGGCGTCCTCGGCACTCGAGTTTTGGAAATATTATCGAAAGCAATAACAATCCTTTTGTCCGTCTACCTACGTGCCACTGTAGGTCTGGGATCGGGAATGAGCTATAAGAGCAATTGAATTCTAGTGGCTCGCTCATACTGCCAGCATGTAGGTACCTACTTTGATATGAACAAATCCCTGTGCAGAAGTAACTAGGTAGGAGTCAATGGTAGGAGTAAAGTATATTTTTGGATTTTTGAATGTTTTTACAAGCAGACTTTTAATTGAATTTAAGCAACACTAACTAGGTACTTTATCAGTAGAGATACCAATCATGGCACACAGAGTTATTTCGTAAGACGATGTCCGCATTTTTGGTTCATTCTGGAACGTTTGGCTTTGCTCTACACTCGATAAGCTAGTTGCCCGTGCGAGTGTCGACCGCTAGCGATTTCCAATTTTAGATTTTATGTGTGCAGCGCAACACTTGAGTCGTGGAAATATTATCGAAAGCAATAACAAACCTTTTGTCCGTCTACGTGCCACTGTAGGTCGGGGGCCGGGAATGAGCTTGAGGAGCAATTCACGTTGAGTGGCTCGTGCGGCGCGTACGCCCGCTCGTGCCCGCTGATACGAGGGCCTTCGCGGGGGATGTCTGGAATTAAACGGTCATTCTTGGTAGGAGGAAGGTTTTTTTGATAATAATGATATAAAATAAAATAGTGGGTAAAACAACTATAAGGGCATTGTACTTGTACAGTGTACACACGATCACATAATTTACCTAAGCTGTGAAGTATAACGTAATGAGATAAAGCTTAACACAACTTACGCAAAACAAAGAAACGGCTTGTATTAAGTTACCTTTTTAGATTTTTCGACAGCAACGACTTTCAGTAGGGTTAATTTTTTAATGAAAAAAAAAAACCGGCCAAGTGCGAGTCGGACTCGCACACCGAGGGTTCCGTCGTACAAACGTAGCGGTTTACAATTTATGACGTATTAAATCAAATTACTTACTAGATATCGTAGTAGTCTTTACGTTTTGATTCCGTTGCGAGTAGTGGCGAATTTCAAAATATGCGGTATGATTATAGGTAGGTTAGGTTAGGTTAGGCTCAGCGTTTTGAATTTTTGCGTTGATTTAGAATTTTTCACAGTTTTATTACATTTAAGAAGTGTTTGATATGAATTTCAACTTTAATATCTCTACGCGTTCATGTGAAAAAGGGTAGGTAGTAAGTTTATAATTATTAAAATATTTTAATATTTTATGTAACTTCAAATTTATCATTTTCGCAATTTTTCCTTTATCTGTACTATATAACGTTGCTTCGTGCCGAATTTCAAGATTCTGAGTTCACGGGAAGTACCTTGTAGGTTTTGATTCCCTAGCGTGTGACGGAAATTCGTCTAAGGTGTCGGTATAAACTGCTGTATCTTTTGATCGCGTTAACTTAGGAGTTTGATTTTTTCACTGCTTAAAGGAACAATAGACCTAGGTATTTGGTATAAATTTCAATTTGATACCTTTATTCGTTCGTGAGAAATAAGGTAGTAAGTTTCATTTTATTAAAATATTTATATTATATTATATAACTAAAAAAAATGAGATTTTCGCAATTTTTCCTATTTTGCATTATATGAAAATGCTTCATGCCAAATTTCAAGATTCTGAGTTTACGGGAAGTATCCTGTAGGTTTTGATTCCTTTGCGAGTGTCGAAAATTTGTTGAAAATATCGACATAATCGGCTGTATCTTTTGATTGCGTTGGCTTAGAAGTTTGATTTTTTCACAGCTTCAAGGGACAGTAGACCTGAGTAATTGATATAAATTTCAGCTTCATACCTCCACGCGTTCCTGAGAAAAAGGGTCTTGACAGACGGACGGACGGACAACAAAGTGATCCTATAAGGGTTCCGTTTTTTCCTTTTGAGGTACGGAACCCTAAAAACATTAAAAACATAACAAAACCCATTCGGCCACAACTTTTCTATTTTTAAGTTTATTTAGGTACAACTGTTTATACTACTTAGTAATTAAGTTTATAATAAGTTACCAAAAGTAATAGTTTATACTTACAATAAACTTCCATGAAAGCCTCGGCCTGGGCTGAATGGAACGATGGCGCCTCCTTTGACACTTCGCACCGGTACAGGCCCCGGGATTTCAGGCTTAAGTCCTTCAGGTGAACGCGGCGGGCGCTTGACTTATCCAGCTGCAGAATAAAAAACGTTTAATGAATAAGGTTTCTAATATAAGATTTTAAACTTTCGCGTTACATGTAACTCATAATGTCTCATTAATAGTTTTTAATATCTAAATAAACTTGAATGAAAATAAATAAAAATGATTTAATTTACACAATACTGTCGATGCTTTCGTGGTAGTAGTAAAAGTGTTTTGACTCTCGATCCGGAGGTACTGTGTTGAATTCTCATTTTCAAAATAAAAGTTCCTACTAAAATGTATTAATTACCTGTGACTTATTTATATTCACAGAGAGTCATTTTAACATTAAAATTTTTAAGACAGTAACGGAGTCTCATTCATTGCCGATAGATATGAGTTGTAATAAAAATAACTACAAAGATATTGTTACTGCTATCTTATCTTACAAAGCTTCAGCAAGCCACAAATAATGTCATTAAAATTGATGATCGGTAAAAAAGCGGGTCTGAAAAGCCAATACGGTTGATATTTTATGACTGTTCTTATGACACGATGAAGCGAAAAATGTCTAGAGCCTATAAGGTAGGTAAAAATATGTTTTGTCTTCTCAGACATGCCAAAATAATGTCTGTCTTTTTATTGGCTGTAATAATATTATAACACTTTGAGCTGTACCTTCCAGTTTGTGTGGTAAATAAATAGATATACATAAATCCAGTCCAGTTCTTTGTACTTAGTTAAAGACGATGTTGGTAATGTAGTTATCTTCTGAGTTGGCAAAATATGAAAATATTAAATAAACATGGTTTACAATCGTCCCATAAGTCAGAAAAATAAAATTAATATGATTATTATATTGCCATTGTTACGATTTTTAAAGGCCCTTTTCAGTTATCACTATCTTTTTCTCACAAAATTTGCAACTTTTTGAAAGCGCTTTGACGAATGTAGGATACTTTCGCTCAGCAGTGATAGATAGATTCTAAGTAAAAAATCTCTCACATTGACTGCGACCCCAAGCTACGAGTATGTGCTCTCTGGGGCAGGCGTAATTTCGGCATAAAGACTAAGGCTGGGTTTGCACTATCTTACTTTAACTTTAACAAACAGCTAGAATCTGTCAAACTCTATACAAAAAACACCGGTTATCGTAAAAGTTAGGTGGTGCAACTCAACCTAAATAAAAACTCTTACATCGACTGTGACTCCGTCCAAGCTTCGGCATGAACCGGTAGAATTCAGTTTAGGCAAAGTAAAAAACTCTTACATCGACCGTGACTCCGTCCAAGCTATGTGCTCGTTGTGGCGGGCGTAGCTTCGGCATGAACCGGTAGAACTTAGTTTAGGCTAAGTAAAAAACTCTTACATCGACTGTGACTCCGTCCAAGTTATGTGCTCGTTGTGGCGGGGGTAACTTTGGCATGAACCGGTAAAACTTAGTTTAGGCTGANCACGATGAGGCGAAAAATGTCTATGAGCCTATAAGGTAGGTAAAAATATGTTTTGTCTTCACAGACATGCCAAAATAATGTCTGTCTTTTTATTGGCTGTAATAATATTATAACACTGAGCTGTGCCTTCCAGTTTGTGTGGTAAATAAATAGATATACATAAATCCAGTCCAGTTCTTTTTAGTTATAAAGACGATGTTGGTAATGTAGTTATCTTTTGAGTTGGTAAAATATTATGCAAACATGGTTTAGACCGTCCCATAAGTCAGAAAAATAAAATTAATATGATTATTATATTGCCATTGTTACGATTTTTAAAGGCCTTTTTCAGTCATCACTAAGCATAAGCACTTTAACGAATATAAGATACTTTCGCTCAGCTGAGTGATAGACTTTCGGCTAAGTAAAGAAGGCTCTCACATCGACTGTGACTCCATCCAAGCTATGTGCTCTCTGTGGTAGGTGTAGTTTCGACATAAAGACTAAGGCTGGGTTGCGTTATCTTCGTCGTTTCAGCCAAATGACGTCCACTGCTGGACAAAGGCCTGCCCCAAGGTTTTCCATAATGAACGGTCCTGCGCTGCCCGCATCCAGGCTCTTCCCGCGACCTTTACCAGATCGTCGGTCCACCTAGTAGGAGGCCTGCCCACGCTACGTCTTCCAGCCCGTGGTCGCCACTCGAAAACTTTCCTGCCCCAACGGACTGCTGCTGCACTATCTTACTTTAACTTTAACAAACGTCAAAAATATGTCAAACTCTATACAAAAAACACTGGTTATCGTAAAAGTTAGGTGGTGCAACACAACCCAAGTAAAAAATTTACATCGACCGTGACTCCGTCCAAGCTATGTGCTCGTTGTGGCGGGGGTAACTTTGGCATGAACCGGTAAAACTTAGTTTAGGCTAAGTAAACAACTCTTACATCGCCTGTGACTCCGTCCAAGCTATGTGCTCGTTGTGGAGGGCGTAGCTTCGGTATGAACCGGTAGAACTTAGTTTAGGCTAAGTAAAAAACTCTTACATCGACTGTGACTCCGTCCAAGCTATGTGCTCGTTGTGGCGGGCGTAGCTTCGGTATGAACCGGTAAAACTTAGTTTAGGCTAANAAAACTCTTACATCGACTGTGACTCCGTCCAAGCTATGTGCTCGTTGTGGCGGGCGTAACTTCGGCATGAACCGGTAGAACTCCTCATGATCCCGGTACCACTTGACGGAGTAGAGCTTGCCGCCTTCTAGCTCATAGTCGCAGGTCAATGTGGCCGCTTCGCCTCTCTGCTTGAATGGTGGCACTGATACTCCGATCACTCGAAGGCAGATGGAAACTGCGAACATTTTTTTCCAATGGTCATGTTGAGAGATTAGCCTAGATAAGTAGGTACACGTTTGGTGTTGTTCATGTGCAACCGATTCTTTTGTATTATGATGGACTTTGTTTAAAATAATAATAATTAAATGTTTAAGTTTCCTTTTGAATTTTCAATTAGTTATCGATAGTTTTTTTAATTAAATTAATATCAATAGATAATAATAATCTACTAATGTAAAGATGTAAAGATGCTATTATATGAACATTGCAAATTGGTATAAATAGAAATACCATACCATTATTGTCATTTTCAACTCACAATGTTATTCATTCCCAATACATATTACTTTTCTAATCCACCTCACTGAAATTAATTTCTGTTGGCGCTTTTTATCATTTACAATCTTAATCTTTTTTTTCTTTCTTCTTTCTTTCTAATCAAACTTAACTGTTATGGTAAGTTATTAATTTTCAACAAAAACCACTACCTTTAAAATAGCTGATAAAATACCAAACAACAGCGATCCGCTTCATTTTCACATTAACCACTCACTAACTTACAACCAACTCGCGTCATTGTTACAACGGTAACATAAAACCATCAATGTTACAAACTTAGCGCGTAAGCAATAATGAGAAAAGTTCGGAGAGCCCGCTGGTAGCGCGCGTAGCGTAGCGCGGGTGGAGTGCAACTGTTGCTACGATGCTTTGCTACGAATCGCCGCTACGAGATCTACGAATATTGCAGCGCACTAACTTTCGGACGGGATAATATTTTTAACGAAAACAGTAGTTGTAGTTAGTATCGTAATAGATCTCACAATTTACTACTTCAGTTTTAGTGCTACGTGCGTGCTGGTCTTAATTATTCTTTAGTATTATTACAGGTATAGCGCTGAATTGAATGTCTATGATTTCTTGAAGTCCATTAAAAATTATATTAAAATTATTAATATTATTTTACGAGGAAACTGTAATTGAAAAACTGTAAATAACAACTGAATCAAGGATAAAGGCGTCGATAAATAATTAATTTTGAACACGTGTAAGAAAGTCATGTTTCACTTACCGCAAAGAGTTATTAAAGTTGCTTAATTAATTATACCTTACTTTCATCGGCGGTGTAGGTGTGTATATTGTAAACCATAAATTAAGGTACCTACAAGTTAACGAGACTTAATTATATCTTTATTAATTAACATGTTTATTTCGACTTCGAAATTCATTAACTTTTTTGACGTTTAATTAATTAAAAATTAAGTAAGTATTCAATTACATATTCGATTAAGTGATTTTAATGGGACATGCCTACTATATGACTTTTAGTATAGTTATGTATCTTTTTGGTAACGCTAACTCGTGTGTAACACAATGAACGTTGCATTTGAGACTTATTATTTTCTGTATGTCAGGAAAGATACGAGTGTTTTACAAAAGGGTTATGTTAAAAATAGCAAAACCCAAATGAAAAGTTCAGTTAATCGCTTTTACTTTGCGGTTAGTTGGCCCAGCTACTTTACTTGGCTTAACTTCAGATGTATGTCCCTCACTCTGCTGGTTCGCTTGTGTTACACCAAAGGTAAGAAGGAGATTAGGAGCATTAATAAATACGTAATTTTGCTAATGGTTTACGTGTAGTGCGTGTCCCATTGTGGTCGACAAATATACTTTTAAAACAATTGCTTAATTTTCAAGGTTTCTACTCATGATCACGAAAAACTTACCTTATGAAATTAATGGTGATAGCGAGGAAAAATAGCAGATTCAGTAAGCAGCTACGCTAATTCAAATAATATAAGGTTGGTTTCCTGTTTACAGGAAATACGAGTAACCATATCAAAAACAAAGGTGGGTTTTAAAAATTAGTCGTTTAAACTACAGACTAACGGCACACAAGCAAGGTGACAGATCCTGAGCATCAGGCTATTTTGTTATATGTTAGTCAACTTCAAAAATTGGTTGTAGAAAGAAACTACGGTCTTATTAAAAGTGCTTAAAGAAGAGATTTCATAAAAGTTTATTCAAACTCAGAAAGGAATATTCTTCTCACCAATCAATTAAGAGCGCAGAATATTATGACATGCAATCATGACGTGATAATATTATGTCTTCTAAAAATATAAATATTGGAAATATAGGTCACTCTATTGTCATTTATTTGAGCTTCCAATTTAAATTAAAAAAAAAAGACCCATAAAAGGTTTCATTTGTATTTTCATACGTGTCGGTGCAAATGGAAATCTCCTGCACAGTGGAAAAAGAACTTCATCTTGAATTTATTGACCTCGAGAATTTTCTTTGAACTCGAGGTAACGACCTCGTTGGGTGTCTAACTGCATAAAATACATAGTTTTTAGATGATAATATGAGTAATATAATGTGTGAAACACATGATATGGTCATTTAAAAAAAAACTTTCTTTTAAAGAAACAGATGATTTTTAACATTTTTAACAGAAGAATTTCAAACATTTCAAACCAGTACGTTTACGGTGAATTGTATGTTGTTGTTGAATTAAGTTTAAAAAAAAATAGTATCGTACGTACACAGACACACACCATAACAAATGAAAAAGCTCACATTTTATGAAACGTACCATACTGAATATTAAATTTCAAGATATTTTATTACCATTAAAGTATATGAATTCAGCATTAAACAATAATGGTCAGTAATAATAATTACCAGCGACTTTAACTGCCGATTAATTTTAATTAAAAGCCTTATTGTTTGTGAAAATATCCTAATATCTTCTGTTTAATTTACTAATTCACTATAAACTCAATGCCAATAATATCTATGATAAAAAAAAAAAAGTCTATCTTGTCTGTGGTAGAAAATAAATATGGAGTATTTTTTGCCGGTCAACATTGTTTTTATTAAATCCAAATAAATCTAGAACATTTTGGTCCAAACGAGCTGGATTTATATACAACCAAATACATTAATAGTGCAAAGTAACAAGTACAGTAAAATCAGTGTAAATTTTGTGCGAATTCCTGTAAAATATCTACAACAACAGTGAGTTATACCGACCGCCATGGAATTTGATAAATTGGTAAAGTCACAGGTAAGCGTTTACGACAACATATCGAAGCTACTCCTAAACTACAAGAAAACGGGAAAAGAACGGCTAACTAAAGGGTTTGTTGAGGCACGGATGGAGATGGCAGACAAATATTGGGACAAATTCGAGCAACAACATAACACGTTGTTGTCGGCGGCACCTGAGTACCAACAAAAGTCGGAATATTTCACTAAAGACATCTATGAGCAGTGTTTTGATAATTATCTCGATCTAAAAACGCGTATGAAGGAAAAACTAAACTCAAACTCTTACATCGACCGTGACTCCGTCCAAGCTATGTGCTCGTTGTGGCGGGCGTAACTTCGGCATGAACCGGTAGAACTCCTCATGATCCCGGTACCACTTGACGGAGTAGAGCTTGCCGCCTTCTAGCTCATAGTCGCAGGTCAACGTGGCCGATTCGCCTCGCTGCTTGAACGGTGGCACTGACACTCCGATCACCCGAAGGCAGATGGAAACTGCGAACAATTTTTTCCAATGATCATGTGTTCTTTTGTATATTATGATCGAATTATTGTACTTACTTAGTTGAAATGTTTAAGTTATCGATAGTTTTTTATTAAATTAATATCATTAGATATTAATACTCATGTAAAGATGCTAATATAATAATATGAACATCGTCAATCGGTAAATAATAATACCATTATTGTCATTTTCAACTCGCAATCACACACAATATTACCCCAGACCTATTACTTTTAAAATCCACCTCACTGAAATCAATTTCTGCTGGCGCCTTTTATCATTTACAACCTTGATCAAATCTAAGTAAGTTATTAATTTTCAACAAAAACCACTACCTTTGAAATAGCTGATAAAATACCAAACAACAGCGATCCGCTTCATTTTCACATTAACCACTCACTAACTTACAACCAACTCGCGTCATTGTTACAACGGTAACATAAAACCATCAATGTTACAAACTTAGCGCGTAAGCAATAATGAGAAAAGTTCGGAGAGCCCGGTGGTAGCGCGCGTAGCGTATCGCGGGTGGAGTGCAACTGTTGCTACGAATCGCCGCTACGAGATCTACGAATATTGCAGCGCACAACTTTCGGACGGGATAATATTTTTAACGAAAACTCTGTAGTTGTAGTTAGTATACAGGGTGTTAGGTAAATGGGTATATTAGCCGACACTAGCCTATGTTAACATGGGCATATAAATGGTATGGTGAAGTTAGAAATTTGATATCATCATTTTATTTTTTTTAATTTTCATAAAAAATAAATTTTATAAAATCCGATTTGTATGAAAATGAAAATAATTAAAATGAAGATATCATATCAATAGGAAAAACTTTTTAGGAGGAATCTAGGTCGAAATACTTACTTGTATGAAAGTTACTTTATATTAATAGTATGAATAGGTACGTATGTTTTTCTGCTATAATTGTATTTTAGATCTCACAATTTACTACTTCAGTTTTAGTGCTACGTGCTTGTCTTAATTCTTTAATATTATTAAAGGTATAGCGCTTAATTGAATATCTATGATTTTTTGAAGTCCTTTAAAAATTATATCAAAAATGCCCTTATTTTTACGAGGAAAATGTAATTGATAAACTGTAAATAACAACTGAATCAAGGCTAATGGCGTTGATAAATAATTAATTTTGAACACGTGTAAGTACGGTTTGTTTCACTTACCGCAAAGAGTTATTAAAGTTGCTTAATTAATTATACCTTACTTTCATCGGCGGTGTTTGTAAACCATAAATTAAGGTACCTACAAGTTAACGAGACTTAATTATATCTTTATTAATTAACATGTTTATTTCGACACAATGACTACGAATATCATAAAACTTTTTTGATATTTTAATTAATTAAAAATTAAGTAAGTATTCCATTACATATTCGATTAAGTGATTTTAATGGGACATGCCTACTATATGACTTTTAGTATAGTTATGTATCTTTTTGGTAACGCTAACTCGTGTGTAACACAATAAACGTTGCATTTGAGACTTATTATTTTCTGTATGTCAGGAAAGATACGAGTGTTTTACAAAAGGGTTATGTTAAAAATAGCAAAACCCAAATGAAAAGTTCAGTTACTCGCTTTTACTTTGCGGTTTGTTCGCCCAGGTACTTTACTTGGCTTAACCTCAGATGTATGTCCCGGCCGTAAGCTCACTTCTGCTGGTTCGCTTGTGTTACACCAAAGGTAAGAAGGCGATTAGGAGCATTAATAAATACGTAATTTTGCTAATGGTTTCGGTACGTGTAGCGCGTGTCCCATTGTGGTCGACATAAAGGTAGTAACTTTTAAAACAATTGCTTAATTTTCAGGAAGGTTTCTACTCATGATCACGAAAAACTTAACTTATGAAATTAATGGTGATAGCGAGAAAAAATAGCAGATTCAGTAAGCAGCAACGCTAATTCAACCAAGCTATTTACTGGAAATACGTTTTCGTTTGTACCTAAGTAACTGTACACAAGCAAGATAACAGATCCTGAGCATCAGGCTAAAAATATATTGG